TGTCTCACTGTGCTGTGATCATGGTCGTCCGTACGACACTTTCAGAGTGATGCCAGTTTGTTCAATGGATATAGATCAGACTCGCACAGTCTCCTTGCCCCCCAGGTTTGGGTTTGGAACACGTTTGACGGCCTGTTTCTTAGAAGTTGCACAACTTTGTTGGTCCCTTGCCAACTACTGCTGCCTTTTGGTCAGGCTTGTGAGCGGAAGGCTTTGATTGATGTCTTTATTCATCCTTTTGTCCAGGCGTGATTACCACGGTGGTATCTAAGCCTGCATAACCATGGATGGTAAAAAAAGCCAATATTTTCACGCTAGTTAGGCCATCGTTTCGTGCCGGCAGCTGGATCGCCTCACGTGCCGTGTACAGCATTGCGAGTAAATGAAAATAAGCTATTGCAAACACCTCTTATTTTCAGTGTTATCTCTCTGGTCGCTCCATGTCCTATCTAACTGCCATTCTTGCGTAGATTTGGGCCATAAGTACGCAGTCTTTCATCCAAAAAAGTGATCGATAGCACGCCACCATTCATGTCTGCCGCTCCGCGTCCAATTTCCGTAACCCCTCAGTTATAATCGTGGCCTTTGTGACAGTTAAGCATCTGTATGTATCACTGGTACGTTTCTGTCAGTGGTGACGATGATGGCTCCGTGTTTTAGCATGCAAACGCTGAAGCAACTCGGCCGACTGTTTTCTCGAGTACGAACTTTTGGCACTTCCTCGATAGATATTTGCTGCTTTTCCATAACTGGAAAAGAGAAGCCGGATACGGTAACCAAACTTACGGCTTCTTGATTATTTAGACGCTACTGCCTGAGAACACCAAGCAACTTTACATCTGTCGCAGCAGATTGTCCGGGCCTTTGGTGTTCTTCTAAACTTCTAAGCTGAGGTATCCTTGTTCGAATAGGTACCAGCCTTTTTCCTGTTTGCTCGTCAACCTCCATAATAACGCGCGTTGGCCAAAATAATATATATTCTTTGTATAGACGTCGAAGGTCGCTGAAGACCCTCTACAGCCCACGACCCGTTTCGCTTTAGTCGGAATTCAGATAAGCCCAGTCCCAGAGTTTCCACCGACCTTATATTCTTCTTCGACTCCATTTGCTCAATCTGGTTCCTGCGAGAGATCACCTGGAATCTAGCTGAACCTCTCGCCTGTGATGTTCTTTTTTCAAGAAGAAAACGAGTGTATTTGTCGAATATCTGTTTCTTATTCGCAGTTTTCGCATACACTTCAACCATCTATAGCTCTGATTCGATGAAAATTTTTTTTATTTGAAACGTACCAACATTTTGAGGAGGTCAGCAACCTTGTGAGTAGTTTCCTTTATGAGGTCAAATGTTGTTCTTGTCGCCCGGAGTTTCACTTCACATCTCAGTTCGTCACATGCATCTTGGTGGGCTGTTTAACTCGGTATCAATGTGTAAGGACAATGGTGATGGCCTTTTTCGGCTTTCTGATGGTCACTATTTGTCCCTCAGTACCACTGAACTCAGGAGTAGTAGAAACCGGTGTGCTACCTGGCGTCTCCAAATTGAGGGAAAACCATGAAGCTAGATTGATGAAATAGCCATCAGTACCCGGTGACGAGGCCCTGTTCTTGGCCATCGATCTCACAGGACCACAAACGTCGATTTAGATCATGTTATCCTCCGTTGTGAATTTCCGACCGGTATGCCGAAAAGACCCTGTTTGGTTATCGACGGACTTACTGACTCATCAAGCTATCCTCTACGAAGTTTTAGAAGTGCATCCTCAGGATAAGTGATTCATAATTGGGATGAAGTAACCGCCACCGTTTCTACAGCTAGGAACTCAGAGTGTGCCGCTTCTGAAGGTCCACCAATAAACACTGAATTTCAGCAACCACTACCCATGCTTCTGCTCCTTCGACCTTTGAGCAGGATTTAGGTAGCTGAGTAAAACATTCTAGAGAAATCAGAGGGTTCTGAAAATGGAGCAAGCTAGTGCATATGGGAATTTCCGGAAATTTTCTCATCTTGTACTAGACTAAAAAGCGGTTGTTGGTAAGGTCGTCGAGGATACTCTCGGAATTGCAATATACAGCAGGAACCAGCCTCTTGACCTCTTGGCCAAATACTATGAAGAATAGTTTATTTGGCCGTCTGCCTGTGTACACATGTCGTTCATTCGACCCGCCCATGGTATGAAAGCTTAGGCCTTCTCTCTCTTGCTAATATGCCTCTCTGCCGTGAGGCGCCATGGGGCTGCATGATTAGGGTTGTTTAGAGACAGTGCTGAGTCTTTGCGCTTCGCCTCGACCAGTTTATTTAAACTGATTTGATAGTAAAGATGCGTTCCAATCAATCACTGTATTTCCATTCAAAAAACGCATCTGAAGCGGCCACCTTAACAATAGAACTATAAGCCTTACTTCAGTTGTAACACGGCTACTGGCTTTAAAAATACTATGACGTCTGATATCATCAGGCTGGATTTAGCTCTGTGAGCACCGGGCAGAAATTCGAACACCACATCTTCGCATTACCGTACGTGTTTCAACAGCATTTTGCATACTGCTGACCAATTTGACGGTTTTCCTTAGACCAAACGAAACGTCCTACCTAATACATGGATAGACTGACCTCCCACGTAGGCTTAGTCAATAAGAAACGCCATCGAATTTGGTGAAAATCCTTCATCTCATTTACTTCCATACTTTTGATCACGCTTCTTCTGGTTTTAGGAGAACTATTCAAACATTTCCCCACAAGTAGTAGGTTTTGTCAGCGACGTTTGTTCTACCCATTTTTGTTTAATTTTATCACTGACGCCATCATGGCGTGTAATCTTTGAAGGATCGCGAATATCAGTGTCGGGATCATATCTGTAGAAAGATTCGTAGACTCAGAGTATCCAGATGATATTGGATGACCATGTGTGCGCACAAATTACAGTATATAGAATATCAAAAAAGGCTGTCCGTTTCGGTGTACTTTTTGCCCCTCCAAAGTGCAGAGGCTTATATTTCAGGGATCCTCATTTCCATATAACCCACTGAAAAACAGAATATGGAGCTTGAGTTTGTTGATAGATTTACTCATCTTGACAGCTGCAAAAAGCAGTGACTGTACTGTAACAAGGAGATTCAGTGCGTGTATTAGTGCACAGGTGGCGATAGCCATAATACAAATCAGAAGGTGAATGTGCACTAACAGAAGTTTTTAACATGGTTGCGACAATGGGAGCAAGTCAAAAAGGAACTTATCGTATGTGTGGTGAAAGTCCGGACGGCGGGAACGTGTTTTTCTCCGCAGTTCGACTGCTACACCTACTCCATGGTTATCCGTGGACTTGTGGAGAGGTTGACGTCCTGCTCCCTGCGCGCGCGCGAGACTGTGTCTTGACTGGGTTCGGTTTGCCTTTATGTAGGTCCCAGTGCGTGTATGTGGGCGCGTCGGCACGAGTGGTTGCTACGCTGACTAGGCGGTGCAGACAATCGATGTCCGATGAGCCGGCTTAATGCGACGTGTTTGTGAGTGTGAGAAAAAAGACAAACCTCGCGATCCAGTGAGCGACTGTGAGTTGAACAGTCAGGTATGTGGGTGACTGGGTCGCTACACGTGCATCACCCGGACATGAGTAAGAGCTGCCAACCGTCACGTTCGCCGTCATACACGAGTGTCAGTGAGGACCGTGTCTCCAGAACGGCCGTGAGAGCGATCATATTCTATGGCTGTGAAACTCTGACTCTCGGATCTGATTACCTTAAACGTTTTCAGAAACATGATCACCACTGTCTCAGTAATATAGAATGCTTTGACTGGTTGTAGCGTGAATGTAACGAAACGGCCCTTAGGCGAGTACAAGGTGATGAGGCTAGGGTGGTTTTGAGTGACTATAGTTTACGGAAGAATATCTTGTTTTTCACTCCAAACCCTTGTTACCGAATAGTCCGCAAAGGACAGGCCACGAGCTGGCAACGCGAATTGGGAGCGGCTACTGTGAGGTCTTCGCACCCCTGTAGATGAGTTCCACGTGATTCTCCTCACACACGGTGGTGGCAAACTTTTTAGCCAAACTGTCTAGATAGTGCTTGACTGCCGTTGTTTTCTGGGATGCAAAGGACGAACAGTCCCGCCTGACTTCCAAACGATGCTGAGATGTATTGATTTCAATCGTTTTGGAGGGTAAAGACGCCTCGCTTTTGTTCGAGGGCTACAGGGCTTTCTTCAATAAGTCCTCACCCTCACGTTTTTTTAACTTTGGCAAGAGCTTCATTCCTTCATACTTGTATGACAGTTAAGCACCAGTTTTTACTACGGGTATAATGCTGTGCATGGTGATGAAGAGACTAGTGTAATTGATGAGAATATATCGAATCTCATCGCATGTGAATTCCATAATGGAAGTGTTCAACGCAAATCTCAGCTGCATGCATGCCAGCTTACTCCGTTCCAATGGGCGAGTAGTAATTGCCCTCGAATAATCACACACAAGTGCGTTCATACACGATTAAAAAAACTTCGAATCAATTTTCGATGGCTAGTGGACGATGGAACGCAATACGGTGTTCTCGCACACTTTGGATTCTTTGAAAACCAGTTATGTGATCCGGAGGTATAAACTCTACCACCGATTGGCTGTCATTACACTATCAGCTTGGCTATGGAATCATATCGATGCCGTTGATCACCAGTTGTGAATGCAGATAAACTGTGTTCCAGTACAGTACAGTGTCTTGGAATGACACGCATCAGTTAACGCTTCAAAGAGGCATGTTGGTTCGGTGTTTGTCGAGATTTTTGTGTTCTTATTACTATACTTACCACATATGAACCTTTGTATGTACGTTTCAGCTCATGCACACTTGTTCTTAGGCAAGCAAAACGTTGCTTATCCCCGAAAACCGGGACCCTGTTCGAACTCGTTCTCGGACACATTCTAAACGTTTTCATGTCTAACCTTGTGGCTACTTAGAATTTTAACATTATTCGACCACATTCACTGTGTGTACCACCCGTTCTCTTTCAGGCCGAACGTGTGATTTGCTCCATCGGGACCAAACAAACCTACCCACTCAAAGTTTCACCGTTCATATACTGGACCGCTGAAATGCACCGAAATGTGCTGGAACTCGTTAGCCCCTGCTTAGATATCAAACAGCAGAACACTGCTAACTGCTTGGAAAAGGTTAGATCTGAGCGCTTGCATAAAACATATCGATTAATAGTAGAATGATCAGAAAAATCGATCTTTCCCTGATGATTGTAGTTAGTTTTAGCTGACGTGTAAAAGAATCAACGTATCAAGGTTTCGGCAACTAGACAAAAACATTGAAGCTAGGTAGAACCGTCTCAACAAATCGAAGATGGAAATCTTTCAAGAAAGAACTTTCCAATTTCGCAAAATGAACCAGAAGTCATGTGATTAGTACATAAATCTATAAGACAGTTTTCGAGATTCTCCAAAAAATCTTCTTGACCTGTTTGCTTTCTTCAGTCGTAGACAGCATCTACCTGAATCCATGGTTAATAGCGTTGAACAATATTTTCACATAAAAAAAGTGATGATAACGTTGGACATCTTGGCCGAATACGGTCCACATTCTAACTAACTGTTTATAGTATCCAAAACCAGGGGTAGTTCTAAACTGACGAATGATACCGGACCGTTACATTCGCTACACCCCTGAACTGCTACTCTCATAACACTTGAACTTTGTCACACGCGTTTGCGTCCTTATTCACACCATCAACCAGTCTGCTGCATTCGATTTCGACCCTTTGAAAAAAAACAAGCCACGCAACACTGTGGAAATCCAACAGGGCAGCTAATCACTGCATTCTCCTTCCCTAGAGTAGGTACCGAAATTACGCAAAAATTTGTTTTTCTACTTAACAGACACAACAGTCCGGTTTTTGTCTCACAATAATGATACATGGTTAAAAATAAGCGACTGTGTTGCTTTCTTTCTAGATTGCGCCTAAGCAATCGTTCGTTCGTTCCTTTTGCTTGTTCATTTCGATCAGACGTAGAAGTAACTATGAACCGATAGTTTGTATTTCCCCCTCGAGGGATGTAAAGTAATCAGGAAGAACCAGTTGAATCTTCAATAGTGATCCGATTCGATGCGGATCGTTTTCAAGACTCAAATGCAGTTCCCATTGCCGTGCACTTGTCTCACATTAGTCTGTTCTGCATTGTTTCAGGTTGCCGATGAGTTCAATACGTTACTAAAAACTCTATCAACTGACTAAGCTTGTCCTTCAAACTCTCCATCACTGTGACCCAATTTTATTGATTTTTATTTTCGCCTGTTGATCGTTTTTTTTATTTTAAAATTTCTCCCTGTTGGGCAAAAATTATTTTTCTGAAACCGGTCCCTCAATCGAGCCTAATATTCAGACTATCATGTCTCCCCGAATTTTGATATTCTGCATTTGTCTGTGATATTTTGATTACTACTCGTTTCAGAACAACTATCGCTCAATGAAATCGAGATTTATTGAAAATACCGTGAGCGCTTTTTGATTCGAATTCTTTTTTTGGGTTCATATCCGTCTTGAGCATATCGGGGTCTCCAGCTCAGATACATTACTTACGGCCCATTTATTTATCTAAGACATACGAAATTCAAGTATGTTAATGGTAGTTTGAATTTTTTCTGCATGCGGATTTCGTGAAGCCAGTCTGTGATGACAAGCCGAGAAGCACTGTACAGCTGTTTCATCCTTATTGGGAATCATCAGCAGTGCGCATCTCACGAAACTCCGGAGAAGTCTCGAACCCGCGACCTCCCGGCTGGTAGTTTGAACACTTAGCCGTTCGGCCACAAGTGACTGATCAGCAGTGTGGTTAACTCGCACTTAGGAGGACCAATATCTTGACAGAACTTACTACTTACGAGGCTGCTGAAACCCCGACAGCCCACGCGACCGGCTTCCCACTCCACCGAAAACGAGGGATTCAGCTGAGTCTCCCGGTTAAACCAAATTAGAGTGCAGACGCCATTCCTACACTATATTGAGGTCTGAGCTATCAGGGTTGAGCATAGATCTGGTGGTCAGTAAATGTTCATTCTGTCAAGCGGCCTTGGGGGCTTAGCTGGGCCTGCTAAGGCTTGCCAAAATCATTCAGCTGTGGGCATAGTCGACGGGCCTGTTGTGTATCAAGCTGAACCGTCTCCATCAGTCGTCAGGGCATTATGTAGACGAGTAGATGACAGTTCGTCTACCAGTCCGACTCGGGCAATCTAGATGGAGTCAGCCTGTCATGAAAAAGCTTAGCCTACAACACTTCGAAAACCGCAAAGGCGTGGTTTAGATAGCCAATCCAAGTCTACGTATGTGAAGGTCATCTGTCCAACAGCCCTTTAGTTCCATTTTGTTCAAAACCCGTAAGTACACAGTACCTGTAAGTACAAACCTGTCTGTTGAGTATCCTATCTCCCTTGAATGGTTTGAAGCGCAAAGTTACGATGCAGGTAAGGTAAAGATCTTGCATCCATCTGAACAAGTTAACTGTAAACGGAGTATATCAGCCATCCAGATTTGAGTCAGTGCCATTTAATGAACTAATTGAGTGGTTTTCCTCAATTCAGGTATCTGTAAACCAATGTCCCAACTAATCATGTAATCCAGAGATCAGTATAATCGCTGGTTATATTGTCGCCCATCTCTAGCAAGCTATTCTACTAAAGGTGGAAAGACACGACTCTAGGAGTATCGTAACGGATGCCATCACTCATATCCGTCCGTGAACTGGCGCCACAGAAATGGACGAGCCCAGATGGGCAACGCGCATCCATACGCCAACCGCGTATTGAATTGCAACAGAATGTCTAACAGAGTTTTACGGGAAACATCAGATACACTCAGCAGAACAGTCCGTCCACTTTTAAGGAATCACGAGTTCGGTGAAGACTGTTGGCCACATTTCGTGATCATCACACTGGCATTGATCGGCTATTGCCGAACATGCTTGAATGTCATTTTGCCCGGATTGTGGCGCACACGAATGGGTGAAGTTTAACAGAGCACGATGGGTACTTTCGTGCATACACCCATCTAAAATTAATCGCCGCCGTTTACTTTCAACCCCATGGTTGGGTGATCCGTTTGCCTGTTGCGCTGGGACTAAATCCTCTGGAACATCTCACACGAACTTAGTATACTGGTCTAAATGATCAGCGTGAAAAATATCCAAAAGCCTCAACGTTCTAGGCTGCGGGTGCATTGTCTCTAATTAAACGCACAACGTTGAAACACGGAAGCTTAGTTGTCTTCTCAGTTTGTTTAATGAGATAAAAGATTGCTCCTAATTCGTATGTCGCTTTAGCTTCCCTCCTTACGTTGTTTTCCATCTTATTTTAAAACGTTATATTGAAGATTTAGGGAATATATTCATTCGCAAACTTTTATTCATTTCCAAGACTTCCCCCAAGCGTCCGCGATTCCGAAAAAAACTGCTTTTGGTTGGTTCTGCCAGGATGAAATCTGGATGCTTATACTGTATTGGTAGATACCAAAAAAATGTTTTCCAATGGAAACTACTTTTAACGAATAAAATAATGTAATCACGTTTGGACTGATCAGTCCTGGGAACTAATCTAGTGATAATCATTCTGTCACTTTTTTCAGCTGGCTTTCAATATAACGTTTTTCTTTCTAACCGCAATCTGAGTATCCAGTGACCTCGTGTGTGTGGAACACGGGTGTCCAGAATAAATCAAATGACAGTAGGAATGCATACGATATCGACTGCAATGCTATTTTATTTGGCATATGATAAGTTATTTTCACCGAAATCGCGGCTCACATGAGGCAGCCAGGCGAAAAGGCAACACACAAATGGTCGGGAACACACAGTACCGAAGTGCAAACGGTCCCACGAATGAGTACTTTGAATGTTCGGGGAAGGAAAGGTCAACTCAGTTCATCACGTGTTCAAACAAGACGCCTGTAGGTGTTTCGTGATGGCGGAACGGAAACGAAGATTGCGCAAGCCAAAAAACAAATAACAAATGAAAGTGGATAGGTGCGCACCGCGTGGCCAGCGTATCCGCGACCCACAATCACAAGTGAAACTGTAGGAATGTTGGATTTGGCGAACGCACGCACGCACAGGATACTTGGTTTATGTACTCTTGATACTAGTCGCCTCTCTTGAACGAGATACCATCCTGACGCCTTCATTCGACCTCCGAGTATGGAACAGATGCTATGGCCTTTGAAAAGTAACCATATATGAACAGGCTTATATGGCACGTTCGGGACGATAGGGATTGCCGGCCTCTCAATTTTTAGTACTTCTAAATCAAAACGGAATCGGACACCCGGTCTCGAGGAACGCTTGTTTCAGATGACCGAAGTCAGTCGGGTCGCTGTTCGATGAGGCTGTTAGGTACGTTCTACCGAATTGGGGGTGGACCAGACCATGTTTGTGTGAAATCGTGTCGAAGGCCTTAAATTGAATATGTTTGCTTCTGGAAACCTACTTTTCTTGTAACAGGTCCAGCAAAGTTATTGTATAATCGCTTTCTGCTTTAAACGTGAGGCGTACCGAACTTTTCCTGATCTCTTGTAGTCGTGTAACTGAATCACAAATGTCACTGATATATCTTGCATAACGTCTGGTAGTCTGAGTTGCGCATTGTTCTGAAGATGACTGGCAAACAGGGTTGGATTCGGCCTCCCTTCATCAATCTGTCTACAGTCGGGACCACTGAAGAAGAATGAAACCTTGGTAGTCCAAAGCTTCAGTAGTCAGAAGCTGGTAGAATGAGAAACACAAACCATGGGTGCTGGCACAATCAGTGGAGAATTGCATAATTTCCACTATTGGAAGATCCAGTCAATAAAAGGTGAGTGAACACCATAATACCTTGTATACGTTTACCCCTGAAATTTCGTCCATAACTTGAATTGTGTGTGCTTTAGGCTGTGAAAAAACTGGTTCTACCAAGCAGGACCGAGACCGAAACTCTCCATCGATAATATCAGTGGCATAATCGGTTTGCGAACGTTTGACATTCCGTAGTTGTTTGACTACTTCGGTACTAGTCAACTGAATGTTGTGTATTCTCGCACATGCCCTAACCACAGGTCTTTTAATACTATTTATGGTAGCTGGCTATGTGCAGTCTTTATGCGAACAGTCTGTGTGTAGGTATTCAGGTTTGTTGGTATCTC